GCTTGACCGAGGGTCGTTGTATCTCCGGGAACTTTTGCCGCGTAGCCCTGTACGAGATGGGGCAATTAGTTTCTTGGGACAGTGCTTGCACGCCTTGACCATCAGGCCGTATTTCTAACCCTCATTTTTATCGTTTGAATTATCTGTGTTACAATATTAATTCATTAAGTGATCTGAAAATTATTAACTGAATTATACTCTAAATAGCTTATATTCCCAACAATAATTACATTACTTAGCTGCTAAATGCCTATTAACTGTAACATATAATCTATAAAATTAATAGTTATTATTCTAAACTTAACAACCAACATGTAAAAGTTAACACTCAAAATTAACATTCATTGTATAAATGTTATAAACACGTTCGTTGTATAATTTTTTTTATATCTTATTCGTAGACAATTAAACATGTTATAGTTGTCTCTCTAACAAGTAATCTTCATAGTTCATAATCAACCTATACAATTGTCTCTTTAACTTTCCAAACAACTTGGAAGTTTAAAAAATCACAGATAACTCTCTAACAAATTTTGTAAAAAACCCGTTAAAGTTTAAAGAAATGAAAGTACTACCTAAAAATTTTGCAAAGAGCCTCCAAAAGTTTCAAGAAGAATAAAAAACAAGCCACTAAAATTTTTACAAAAACCGCCAAACATTTTAGAAATTGAAACTAACCCCTAGACAATTTTGCAAATAGCACCCTATAAGTTTCAGAAATTGCAATGAAAATTGCAAATAACCCATAAAAATTTTGTGTAAATTTCTTAAAAGTTTTAGAATTTTCAAACAAACTCCATAGGAATTTTGCAAATAGCTCCCTAGAATTTGGGGGGTTAACTGCAAAAGTAACATGGGATATTATGAGGGATATTTTTGAGAGAAGCACGTGATTTTATATCTACGCTTAGTTGGCACTGTATAATTAAAGGGCTTAAACACATGAAAAGTATATTTTTGGGGCTTAGTCACATGCCCTAAATGTTGAGGGGCTTTTAAGAAAAGGGCTTAGACATTTTTTTTAATAAAACAAACACATAAAAATGATAAATGTGAGTTTTTCTTTTATTTTTTCACTTTCATGTAAACAAACACCCCTCCTAACTGTAAATAAGAATCTATAGCCTATAATCGATATTAGAAAATTGAGAAGTCTTCCCCTCTTCCTTTCAAACTGTCTTTTCCTCTTTTAGAAGTTGTACACTGCCTACAATTGCAGTCACAGAGATCAAAAATATGAGAAGGGCCAAATCAGAGTAAGTGGAACCATAGCCTAAGTTGAGGACAGAGTAAAATGTAGCAAGCCTTCTAAGTTCTCACCATCTTTCTCTTGGAACCAAAAGAAAGCTCCAAACGTTCTGCAAAGCCTAAGTTGCCTTTAGTCTGTTCTCACCATCTTTTTCTTTCTGACCTTCATCTTGTCCTCTGCACTCTCCCTTTAAATACTTGCTCATCTAATTAACTTAGTTATTAGTCTTTACACCATTGTCTCTATGAGACTATGGTTTCAATGTTTTCTTTAATTTTCATATATTATTTCCCTTTCGATTAGTTTGGGTTACTGGGTTTTCCTCCAAGTTAGTAAAGAAGTTGGTTCTTCATTTTTCATACCCTCTGAAAACCTATAAGTTATGCTTGGTTTTTGTTCCTTTAATTAATGAAAGGTTTTGAAGCTTGACTGCTTATTAAAAGTTCCATTTTCTATTATTGTGTTTTGTTTGCTCTTACTATAATGTTTGGATTGGGTATTATTTTGAGTCAATAACCCTTTTTCCTTTAAAATAGAATAGTGACATGTTTGGTTTAAATTTTTAGAGGATATTAGATGGGACTACTTTGTCCATTAATATGAAATACTCTAGAGATTTATGACTAAATAATGAAGGAGGAGGGATTGTTATTATAGTTCCGGGACTGTTTTCTCTTCAGAATTAGATCTAAAATGACATCATTATATACCCCTTAACTTTCTAAAAGTAATCACCATTTCTCATTCCCAATCATTTAACTCATTCACTTCTATTGCATATTAATCATCCCGTTTGCGTGTCCCCACCATGATTGCATATACCAATTAATCATCCTCATTTGCATATTAACCCCCTGAATCCAGATATTTTTTAATCCTCTGATATTTGGAAAGATCTTTTGCCAAAATGGAAACATCTAAAATTTACAACATAGTCCTTAAATAATTAAAAAATACAAAGAGCCCCATAAGGATCTACAATTTACAAGCAACTCCTTGAAAAACCTAAAAACTATAAATAAAGAAAAAATTAAAAAATAAGATTTAAAAAAAATAAAAAAATAAAAAAATTACAAATAGCCTCCTGAAAAGAACTGAATTGCAACAATGCTCGAAAAAATTTGCATAACCTTGGTGATTTACATTTATTAGACTTTTTACTCAATATGAACAAAGAACCTTGCATCCTTCAACTTCATAAACCAGCCTTTCGACTGCGACGGCCGGCACTTGATTTAGTCATCATCGGAGCATTATCAGCAATGTACTTCCAGTCCTTGCAGGTCACAGCAAAGCTCACGCAACCACTTGGGCTAAGTTGGCCTCTGATCATAAACAACACGCTCTTTGGGATTTCATGAGGGGGAGAAGGCTCCGACTCTCTCTTGCTTATTGCAGTGTTGTTGCCTCGCATTGATTTCTCCATCTCGGAAGCTTAGTAAGAGTTTTAATGTTGAAGTTTGGAGGTTTAAGGCTTTATTTATTGACTAAAGTTTCCATAATTCTACGAGGAGTAGGACTTAATTTGAACCGGAGTTCTAGTAGGAACTAAATTGATGTGATTCGTGGACTCTTATTCAAGAAAATATTAGCCCTATGAACATGAATGATTCGTGGACTCTTATTCAAGGCAATAAAGTCAGGAAGGCTATCTCAAGTATTTCAGGAATGAACATTGATAGAAGTGATCCCTAAGGAATCACATAAAGCAATACCATTTATCCTTTTTAGCTCTTCTTGAAACAAAAGTTAAGGAATCTTCAATTCCCATTACTACCAAGAGGATTGCCAACAATTGGAGTTGGGTGTCTAATGTCAGGACTTCAAGGAAAGCCAGGATTATCATTCATTGGGGTCCAAATTTTTTTGATATTCAAGTCATTAACAAGACTGATCAACATATTGATTGCTCTGTCAAGTCAATAGATGGAAGATTGGACTGTATCATCTCAACTATATATAGCTTCAACCATTTGGATGCTAGAAAAGAGTTGTGGAATGATCTTAATAGCACTGCTCAAAAGATAGGGAATCTGCCATGGATCCTTTCTGGGGACTTCAATGCAATGATTAGTGATGAAGAAAAACTAGGAGGAGTAAATCTTACTGAGGAGGACACTAAAGATTTCTACAAGTTTATTGAGGATTGCTCTCTAAATCACTTGAAAACTATAGGATGTTTCTACACCTGGAATAACAAGCAGGGTGCAATCTCCAGGATCTGGAGTAGACTGGATAGAACCCTGGTCAATGATACTTGGATTAATAAATTTAACTCTAGCCATGTTGAGTACATGACTCCAAGCTTTTTTGATCACTCCCCAGGCATCATATCTGTGTATGAAGATCTAATCCAGGGGAAAAAGCCTTTCAGATTTTTTAAGATGTGGATCAAGCATGACAGGTTCCTGCCCATAGTCACAAATATCTGGCAAACTCCTGTCCAAGGACACACTGTGTTCTCAGTTTACTCTAAGCTTAAAATGTTGAAAGGAGCTCTGAAGGACCTGAACAAGAAACACTTCAATAACATTAGTGAACAAGTGCAAAGGGCAAAAATTGCATTAGAGGACGCACAAAGAACTCTTCAATCAAACCCTCTCAACTCTACTCTTATTGAACAGGAAAAGGAATGTTTCTATACCTACAACAAACTTCTTGATTGTGAGCTATCATTCTACAAACAAAAGGCCAGAATAGCTTGGAGTATGAATGGAGATAGATGTACCAAGTTCTTCCATGCTGTAGCTAAATCTAACAGACATAATAATAGAGTTGTGGCCCTTTACAATAATAGGGGTGATAAGATCATTGATGGAGATGAGATAGTTATGGAACTTGTATCTTACTATAAAAACCTTATGGGCAAAGCAGTTAGCACTTCCCCTCCAAATATGAGCATCATCAAAGTAGGACCTTGCCTAACTGAATCTCAAATCAGGGAGCTGTCAATTCCAGTGACTAAGGATGAAATTAAAAATGCAATGTTCTCAATGTCTGATGATAAAGCACCAGAGCCTGATGGTTATAGTATGTCTTTCTTCAAAAATGCATGGCCTGCTATCGGAGAAGAGATCACTTTGGCAATTGAAACTTTTTTCAAAACTGGCAAGTTATTGGGGACTACAAACTCCACTTCAATCACTCTTATACCAAAGGTACTATGTCCTAAAACCCCCTCTGATTTTAGACCAATCTCTTGCTGCAATTGTATATACAAATGCATATCAAAAATAATTGCAAATAGAATAAAACATGTTATGGGACATCTTGTGAATGAAGCACAAAGTGCGTTTGTTAAAGGGAGACAGATCTCTAGTAACATCATGTTAGCTCATGAGTTGGTTAAAAGCTAAAGCAGGAAAAAAATCTCCCCAAGGGTTATGCTAAATATTGATATCAAGAAAGAGTTTAACACTATTAGTTGGAGGTTCATCAGAGATATGCTCATGGGGTTGGGATTTCCAAATGTGTTGATTAACTGGATAATGGTTTGCATTACTACTCCTAAATACTCTATCTCTCTCAATGGTGGACTCCATGGATACTTTAAAGGGGAACGTGGATTGAGACAAGGGGATCCCCTCTCTCCGTATCTCTTCATATTGGGTATGGAGTATTTCTCAAGAACGTGGATTGAGACAAGGGGATCCCCTCTCTCCGTATCTCTTCATATTGGGTATGGAGTATTTCTCAAGAAGCATGGTCTCCTTAAAAGAGGACACTCTCTCCGTATCTCTTCATATTGGGTATGGAGTATTTCTCAAGAAGCATGGTCTCCTTAAAAGAGGACAGATCATTTAAATTTCATCCTAACTGCAAGAAGCTGCAAATCACTCACCTAATTTTTGCGGATGACTTGCTTTTATTTGCTAAAGGTGAAGCTTTCTCTGTTCAAAAGTTATATCAGTGCATCAGGCATTTCGGTGCAGTCTCAGGCTTAGAGGCAAATCCAGACAAGAGCTCTATTTACTATGGTGGGGTGGAGGATTCAGTTAAGGCAGAAATTGCTAATATTCTTGGATTCAAAGAGGGGTCTTTTCCAATAAAGTATCTTGGAGTACCTCTTATATCTAAAAGGCTTTCATTTATGGATTGCAATCCTCTGTTTGAGAAAATCACAGGTCAATTCATGAACTGGACCAAGAACAGAAAATTATCTTATGCAGGCAGGTTACAAGTTATAAAAAGTATAATTCTTGGAGTGCTAATCTACTGGACATCAAATTACATCTTACCTGTAAAGGTACTTCACAAAATTGATGAGATTTGTAGGAAATTTCTATGGAGTGCAACTGATCAAACCTCCAGGAGTCCTCTTGTGTCTTGGGATAAAGTATGCTTAGGGATGAATCAAGGTGGCTTGGGGATCTTTTCAGCTCAAATCTGGAACATTGCTTCAGCATTAAGAAGCATATGGTTCATACACACCAATAAGGAGTCACTTTGGATCAAATGGATCCATGGAAAATATCTTAAACATGGAAATATATGGCAAGTTAGAGCAAAACCAGATGACTCATGGATGTGGAAGCAAGTGATCAAAACAAGGGATAAAGTGTTGAATGAATTTGGAGGTGCTGACAATGTGACAAATCTTATCAGGTCGTGCTATATTAATTCAAAGCTAAAACTTTCAGCATTGTATAGAAAACTCTCCCCTGAAACAAACTTAGTCCCATGGCATAAAACTGTTGGGGGGGGACTGAATGTTCCTAAACATTCTTTTATCAATTGGTTGGTAGTTCAAAACAGACTCCTTACACAAGATAGACTGATAAAGAGGGGGATCATCAGTGCAAATTCATGCTACTTATGCTCAGGTGCTAGAATGGAATCGAGGGACCATTTATTTTTTGAATGTAACTTCTCTTGCTATATATGGAACTCTATCATGGACTGGTTAAATTTTCGGTGGAAATCATGCAATTTGAGATTGCTGTTGAACTGGTTCACAAGATCAAGAGGCAAAGGAATACAAGCACAGCTCAGAAGATTAGCACTGACGGCATCAATATATATCTTATGGCAAGAGAGGAATGCAAGGCTTTTCACTCAAAAATTTAAAAGTGCGGAACATCTAGTCAAGGTCATCAAATTTGAAATCTCAACCATAATGCTTAACAGTCCTCCTTTGATTTGAAGAGCTGGTTACAGGTTTTTGTAATTTTTTTCTGTGATCTCAGTAACTAATGTACCGAGTATCTTGATGTGTATATTTTTTCATACTTGGTGGATGAATAAAGCTTTTCATTTACCAAAAAAAATAATAAATTGATAGATTCTTTCCGGAGTAGCCCTCAATCCAAACCAAAGTTTTATCTGCGGACTAGGACCTTTGGTGGGCTTGGTCCAGCCCATGGGATGAGTGGATAGGGCCTCAATACTGGTAGGATTTGTCAACAGATTTCGGGCGCTTGCAGTTGCAGGTTCATACTTTTATTTTCCATTAAAGAGAGGATTAATTTCATATAACCCCGAGTTTTGGAGGTTTTCACACAAGCTCTTTAAATTTGTGACTTTTGGAGTTTTCACACAAGCTCTTTAACTTTGGGTGCCATACAAAACATTCCTAAACTTGTATTTATTTATTTTTTTTGTCTCACTAACCCCCTTATCTGTAGTTTGCAAATAATAAAAATGTTCTTGAGAGAAACTTTTCAAATTGTTTTATTTTTCATTTACACCAAACAGCAAATGTATGCCCCACCATTAAATTATGGGTTTTTTTTTTCACTAAGAAAAATTTAATTATTTGTAAACTACATGCAGAGAGAACTGTCAGAAAAGTTTAAAGGGATTTTGTGAGACACCCTAGAGTTTAGGAGGGTTAAATAAGATAAACAAAGTTCAAGGGTTTATGTGAAACACCCGCCAAAGTGCAGAGGGTTTTGTGTAATTAATGCTTCTAGTGACCACAAGAGAGTAATGCTATCTATCAAACAAGAGGATGTTATTTACTCGCCACGATACTCTCTCTGGTCATTGTTGATGTCCTGGGACTCAGCAGTGGGATTAGAGAATAATTCTGGACAGTAGCAGATCTTAGGGTCAACATGGAAGATTTAGGAGTCCCCTCATCTCCTTAAGCGGCTAATCGTTTGATAAGATGAGAGTTTTGCAAAACCATAAGCACATTAGAGGATTAGAGTTGGGCTTTCCGGTGATTCCTCCAATGGTCAAGTCAGTATGGAGCTTGAGTGGGAAATGAATTGAGTAAGTTCTATGTGTGTTATGTGTGTAAGGAGTTTGTAACATTCAGCAGGTTGCCCTACTTAGCCAAAAATGGCTTACTTGTGGCTGTAGTCCCTATTTCTAGTAGGCGATGAGCCTATATATACTCAGTTGAGAGGGGCACATGCATTACTTTAGTCGACTCTAGGTAGGTAGTTGAACCGACAGATAGCCTACAGGCGTTGGCTGTAGGTGAGATAAGTCACCACTGAGCTTGATTTGATGGTGACTGAGAGGGCATGGTGCTGATGACAGGTGATGAGTCATGCAGACTCGTGGCATGAGATGTGATGATGATGGTCAGCTATTGACGTGGAGTTCGAGAACTAACCGCCTCTCGAATTGGCTTTGCGAGTGTGACAATAGGTACCGCCTTTTTGTCGGCCTCGCAAGTTGTTGACCCGGTCTTAAGTTAAGTGAGCGGGTTCAAGTCGAATGATGATGTCGAGCGAGAGCTTGTCTCGACTCGGTCTTACTTTGGAAGGGACGAGTGCCCATGCTATTCGAGTCGTCTTGGCGATGGCAAGCTGATTTGATAATTAGCGTTGATATGGGACAAGTGTCGACTACCCCCGTCCAGGACCTCAAAGACGTTTATCGATCACGTGAATTGCATAACTACTGATATATTTTTTAGTAGCAAACTAAGCATATCAATGCATGCGATTTATTTTTAATTTATGTTTGCCCTTAGTTTGGTCTTTGTCCATAAAATAAGAATATGCATGCATTTGTCATGCAGTATAATGTGAATGCATTACATATGCATGATTAGTTCACTCATGCTGGTTTGTCTATTAATTTGAGCAATTTTGCTACTTCCTCTTTAGATATGAATGCAAATATGAATGTCTATGCATCCTTGGTTTGCGTATGTAGAAGCTAATGTAGTACACATTTACAATTAGAAGTTTTTTCCTTTGGGCATGTAAGCCCATTTTTGAAATTCTCCTTTTTAGACTCCAAAAAATGAAATTCCCTAAATATGCATTGATTTTTCAAATTCTCTTAAATATGTTGTACCTTCTGTGCAATTATCGTTAAGTAGTGCAAACTAAGGAGAAAAATAAATATAATTGGTAAAGGAGGAAGAACAAATATGTGTTTATGAAGAAATTTAAGAGAAGAAAAATTTTAACACTGGTGCACCCTTCAAATTTGCATATTATTCATACTATAAGCTCAAACAATTATGTTCTTTATTTCATGAAGTGTATCCCATCCTCTCATTCTTTACTATTTGGCTTTTTAAGTATATATTATCAAAAAATAGCATTTTTCTTTAAATTGTTTAAAGATATCACACTTTGTATTATTTTTATAAATAAAAAGTTATATATTTCCAGAAAATCGTGCAAAGACAAACCTAGCATGATTGAAATGATCAATTACTAAAGATATCACTAGCCCTTGTTTCCATCCGAAATCGGTTAAATCTTTAATTAATTTTTTTTTTAATTTATAGAAAGTTTTTTTATCCTTTAGTTAAAAAATGACGACAAGTAGTCAACGCACCTACACTATAGTATTTACAGAAAAAGAACATATAGGAGTTAATGGAGTTAATTTGCAGGAGTCGATTTATTTGCCGGCAAGGCTGCGACGGCGAGCATCATAGTCACAACGCATTTCAACCATCCAATCGTGAAATGAAGTTCATGCAGCAAACTAGCGAAAAGTGTTATGCTAACTATCACTTAAATAGTTATAGTTTACATGACTTTACCCCTATATACCTCATCTTTCATCTTGACATTCAAATACCCTATAGTCTACACGACTTTACACCTGTGAATCCTAACTTTTTGTTCTTGACATTTAAATACCCGATAGGTTACATGATTTTGCACTTATATACCCGATCTTGTTTTCTCGATGCTTAAATACCTTATTCTTTTCTTAAAGCAGCATATTACTGTCTTTTCTTAGTAAACATTGTACTGTTATCATTAAATGCATAAATATTCTTCGAAAGTTTTTTTTAATGTAACTTGCATATGTTAAAAATTGATCGACTGTACTCCTGCAAGGTCATATTTTCAAATAAAAAGCTCATTTTTAATCTTATTTTCTCCCACTTAAAGTTCCTCTCTACATCAGTTATTAGTCTTATTCAACCAACTCTAAAGACATAACTAACCAAGTTTTATGATGCACATATCACATTGGAACTTTTAGGATAATATTTCAACATTTAATTAAAAGAAGGTAGTAAAGTGGTATTTTAAAACACTAATAGCGTATTTAAATGTAATAAAAAGAAAAGATAGTGTATATTGGCGCAAAGTGCTATAAACTATAGGGTACTTGTGTCAAGAAAAAACGATTGGGTATATTGTTGTGCGCAGCGGAACTCGAATCACACGAACAAGAACGCGAAAGATCACAACCAAACACAAGCACAAATCACAATCACAGCAAGACAAAAAAGTTTTACGTGGTTTGGCAAGTTGCCTACGTCCACGAGGCAAGGAGGAGGGAGTTCTTATTATTAGAGATGAAGATAATACAAAATAGGGTTACAAAATCACTCAAAACCTTAAAACAAAGCTCTTTAAATCTCTCACAAATCTCCCACAATTGGATGCAACAATCCTCTCTCAAAGACTGCTCAAAACGTCCTTGCTTAACCCTAAAAATGTGTTTAGGGTTATATATCAACTCATAATGAAAGGATCAGAAAACAGAATCAGGCCCAAACCCGCTACGCGGTCGACCGCCGAACCCATCGTGCGGTTGACCGCCAAAAGTCCAAAGACCAAATCGTCTACAGGGTTTTGGCGTGGTCGACCGCAGAACTTATCGCCGTCGATCGTCAAAAGTCCAGAGACCAACTCTGTCATGTGCACGTTCGCGGTCGACCACCGCGCCATGTGCCGTCGACTGTGAAGCTTCCAAAATGCCTCCTGCTTGTTTTCTCCTGAACTTCGTCGTCGTTTCTACAATTCTCCACCTCGGCAAATGTTTAACCAAAAAACTGAGCCGACACCAATACCAACCAAACATCCCACTTGTTGCGTCTAGGACGCCATGGAGTTAATCCATGACAACAGACTCAATCAATAACAATTCAGGAACCAAAAAGAGAGTTCAAACAATCCTCCCCCATCGAAATCAACTAATCCAACCGACTGCATCGAAAAGACTACCTACGTATCCTCTTGCCCAAGGAATCAAGCTGAACGTAGTTCACCCAATTGGACTCCAGAGACCCTCAACATCGAAGAATGTGTAATAGCATTAAACAATGACCAAATTTTACACCTGAAATAACTTTGGTCAACATATCCATAGGGTTGTCCTTCGTGTGGATCTTCTCCAATATGACGTCTCCATCATCCAAAATATCAAGAAGAAAGTGGAATCTGGCATCAATATGCTTCGTGCGTGCATGATAAACTTGGTTCTTCGCCAAATAGATAGCCAACATGCTATCACAATATACCCGAAGGGTCTCCTGTGCAATCCCCAAGTCCTCCAACAATCCATACAACCACAAAGCCTCCTTCACAGCTCTAGTCACCGCTATATACTCCGCCTCTGTAGTAGAGAGAGCCATTGTAGACTGAAGTGTACATCTCTAACATATCGGTGCTCTTGCCAATGTAAACACATATCATAAAGTAGACCGGTGTTTGTCAATATCCCCGCATAATCGGAATCCATGTAGCCAATACAATCCTGCCCATTTTTCTCATGCTTCTAAATAATCAAACCAACATCCACGGTGTCTTTAACATACCATTGAATCCACTTCACGACCTCCCAATGACCCTTCCCGGGATCATGCATGTACCTCGATACCATGCTCACGGCCTGTGACAAATTTGACCCCGTACATACCGTCGCATACATCAAGCTACCCACCGTACTGGCATATGGAACCTTCGACATGTAATTTCTATCCTC